TGCCACAGTTGATATTGCTAATGCGTTTTTCTCAATCCCTTTGGCAGCAGAGTGCAGGCCACAGTTTGCTTTCACTTGGAGGGGCGTCCAATACACCTGGAACCGACTGCCCCAGGGGTGGAAACACAGCCCCACTATTTGCCATGGACTGATCCAGACTGCACTGGAACAGGGTGGAGCTCCAGAACACCTGCAATACATTGATGATATCATCGTGTGGGGCAACACAGCAGGAGAAGTTTTTGAGAAAGGGAAGGAAATAGTCCAAATCCTACTGAAGGCTGGTTTTGCCATAAAACAAAGTAAGGTCAAGGGACCTGCACAAGAGATCCAATTTTTAGGAATAAAATGGCAAGATGGACGTCGTCAGATCCCAATGGATGTGATCAATAAAATAACAGCCATGTCTCCACCAACTAGCAAAAAGGAAACTCAAGTTTTCTTAGGCGTCGTGGGTTTTTGGAGAATGCATATTCCAAATTACAGTTTGATTGTAAATCCCCTCTATCAAGTGACCCGAAAGAAGAACAATTTCAGATGGGGCCCTGAGCAACAACAAGCTTTCAAACAAATTAAAGAAGAGATAGTTCATGCAGTAGCCCTGGGGCCGGTCCAGGCAGGACAAGATGTAAAAAATGTGCTCTACACCGCAGCCGGGGAGAACGGGCCTACCTGGAGCCTCTGGCAGAAAGCACCTGGGGAGACTCGAGGTCGACCCCTAGGGTTTTGGAGTCGGGGGTACAGAGGATCCGAGGCCCGCTATACTCCAACTGAAAAAGAGATATTGGCAGCATATGAAGGGGTTCGAGCTGCTTTGGAAGTGATCGGCGCTGAAGCACAGCTCCTCCTGGCACCCCGACTGCCAGTGCTGGGCTGGATGTTCAGAGGGAGGGTCCCCTCTACACATCATGCAACCGATGCTACATGGAGTAAGTGGGTCGCACTGATCACCCAACGGGCTCGAATAGGAAACCCCAGTCGCCCAGGAATCCTGGAAGTGATCATGGATTGGCCAGAGGGCAAAGATTTTGGAATATCTCCAGAGGAGGAGGTGACGCGTGCTGAGGAGGCCCCGATGTATAATGAACTATCAGAAAATGAGAAACAGTATGCTCTGTTCACTGATGGGTCCTGTCGTCTTGTGGGAAAGCATCGGAGGTGGAAGGCTGCTGTATGGAGTCCTATGCGACAAGTTGTAGAAACTGCTGAAGGAGAAGGTGAATCAAGCCAATTTGCAGAAGTGAAGGCCATCCAGCTGGCTTTAGACATTGCTGACCGAGAAAAGTGGCCAGTGCTCTATCTCTATACTGACTCATGGATGGTGGCAAATGCCCTGTGGGGGTGGTTGCAGCAATGGAAGCAGAGCAATTGGCAGCGCAGAGGCAAACCCATCTGGGCTGCCGCACTGTGGCAAGATATTGCTGCCCGGGTGGAGAACCTGGCTGTAAAAGTCCGTCATGTGGATGCTCACGTACCCAAGAGTCGGGCCACTGAAGAACATCAAAACAACCAGCAGGTGGATCAGGCTGCTAAGATTGAAGTGGCTCAGGTGGATTTGGACTGGCAACATAAGGGTGAACTATTTATAGCTCGGTGGGCCCATGACACCTCAGGTCACCAAGGAAGAGACGCAACATACAGATGGGCTCGTGATCGAGGGGTGGACTTGACCATGGACACTATTGCACAGGTTATCCATGAATGTGAAACATGCGCTGCAATCAAGCAAGCCAAGCGGTTGAAGCCTCTTTGGTATGGAGGGCGATGGCTAAAATACAAATATGGGGAGGCCTGGCAGATTGATTATATCACACTCCCACAAACCCGCCAAGGCAAGCGCCATGTGCTTACAATGGTGGAGGCAACCACCGGATGGCTGGAAACATATCCCGTGCCCCATGCTACTGCCCGGAACACTATCCTGGGCCTTGAAAAGCAAGTCCTGTGGCGACATGGCACCCCAGAAAGAATTGAGTCAGACAACGGGACTCATTTTCGAAATAACCTCATAGACACCTGGGCCAAAGAGCACGGCATTGAATGGGTGTATCACATCCCCTATCATGCACCAGCCTCCGGGAAAATCGAACGATGCAATGGACTGTTAAAGACTACGCTGAAAGCAATGGGTGGCGGGACATTCAAACACTGGGATACACATTTAGCAAAAGCCACCTGGTTAGTCAACACTCGGGGATCTGCCAATCGAGCTGGCCCTGCCCAGTCAGACCTTGTACATACTGTAGATGGGAATAAAGTCCCTGTAGTGCACATAAAGAATATGTTGGGGAAAACAGTTTGGGTTATTCCTGCCTCAGGCAAAGGCAAACCCATTCGTGGGATTGCTTTTGCTCAAGGACCTGGGTGCACTTGGTGGATAATGCGGAAGGATGGGGAAGTCCGATGTGTACCTCAAGGGGATTTGATTTTGGGTGAAAACAGCCAATGATCTGAATTATGTGATGTTAAGCATTCATTATGGTTATAATAGATATACTAATAATATCATAAGATGCCATACTAATGTTATAGAAATTACTATAGCAGGAACCACCAGAACCAGTGGAGGACAAGCCTTACAAGAAGCAGTGCAAGTCCAGCAGTGACCCGACCTCAGCTGGCTTTGGTGCCCAGTAAGTCCATGCAACACACCACCTCTCCTGGCCTGAGTGACCACCATAACAGATGGAGCCCAAAGTCACGGACTAAATGAACTCAATGGATATGTCATGAACATTTCTGGACATTTTACAGACATTCCACAAGGGTGGTCCATAGACTAAGGGAATGATATCTGTGTGTTATATCAAAGTATGGAAAGCGGGGCGGGTGGTTAATGACGTTGTACTGGAAAATATGGGACTTGAGCATGACGTAGATGGTATGGAATAAGGGGTGGATACTGTCCTGGTTTCAGCAGGGATAGAGTTAATTTCCTTCCTAGTAGCTGGTACAGTGCTGTGTTTTGGATTTAGGGTGAGAACAATGTTGATAACACATTGATGTTTTCAGTTGTTGCTAGGTAGTGTTTATACTAGTCAAGGACTTTCCAACTTCCCATGCTCTACCAACTGAGAAGGCTGGAGGAACACAAGAAGCTGGGAGGGGGCACAGCCAGGACAGCTGACCCAAACTGGCCAATGGGATATCCCATACCATGTGACATTCCATACCATGTGACATCATGCTCAGTATATAAAAGCTGGGGGAAGAAGAAGGAAGGGGGGAATGTTTGGAGTGGTGCTGTTTGTCTTCCCAAGTCACCGTTACACGTGAGGGAGCCCTGCTTTCCTGGAGACAGCTGAACATCTGCCTGCCGATGGGAAGTAGTGAATTAATTCCTTTGTTTTGCTTTGCTTGCGTGCGTGACTGTTGCTCTACCTATTAAACTGTTTTTATCTCAACCCACAAGTTTTCTCACTTTTACCCTTCCAATTCTCTCCCCCATCCCACTGGTGGGGGGGTGAGCGAGCGGCTGCGTGGTGCTCAGTTGCCAACTGGGGTTAAACTTGTCTCCCCATAACTCTACCAGTTCTCCTAAGCATCAGGATGGACTCTCTTGTGCTTGCAGAATGCTGTCTTTAAAGACCTGTCAACTTTCCTGAGCTTCTCTCCTCTTCAGAGCTCTCACAAGCTCCCACCTATGAGTTTCCTGAATAAGCTAAAGACTGCTCTCCTAAGCTACAGGGTCTGTACTCTGACCTTTTTGACTCTACTCAAGATCTTGAGGTCCGTTATTTCATAGTCTCTACAGTCAATACTGCCACCGATTAGCACACTCCAACCATTTCTGTGAAGAGCGCCACAACCTGCTGTGCATTACTTCTGGTTGGCCTACCTAGCCCCTGTATCAAGAAGTTATCCCTGACACCCTCCAGAATCCTCTGGGATGGCTTCCATCTCCCACTGTGTTGCCCTTTCAAGCAGATGCCACGGAGACTGAGTTTCCTCATACGAACCGAACCAGGTTTGTGATCTGGAGACTTCCTTGAGTTGTGTAAGTATAACTTCATCTACTTTCTCTCAACTTGTTCCACTGCTTGCACTAATACCTGTCAGAATAGTTTCAGACTTATTTCTGAAGCTCCATGGTTTGTTCATAGGATACAAAGTTAATCACTCTTGTTAGTTTCCCCACATTATCATTTGAACAGATATTTTCTTACTTACCTCTGAGAGCATTAATTCTATTGCAGTCCAGTGGGCTCATGCCACGTTCAAGATTACCATATACATTGCTTTTTACCAGCACATCTTCAGTGAACATATGACGAATTAGGTAGCGAGCTGACAACTCTGGCCGAGACTTCCCTTTAGCTACATAAATGACTGAGAAAGGCAACTGAACGTTGCGCCATGGACTTCCAAGAAGTTCTAGAAAGGATGTGTGTGTGTGTGTGTGTGTGTGTGAGAGAGAGAGAGAGAGAGAGAGAGAGAGAGAGAGAGAGATATTTTATTTATCCAATACTGACCATGCTTCAAAGTGGCTGTATTACACTAGAACACAAAAAGTTCTCCCCAAAACTACTGTACTTGCTTGGAAAGACCAGAGCAAAACCATAACGCTACAGCTAATACTAAAACGCAACATACTGCAGACGAATGTCCAAGTAGCCAAAACCCCCTGCCTGTTTTAAAACAGTGTAACAGCACTTCTGATATGCTTTCAGCAATGCTAGCCATGTGACCTGCATTATTAATGATTGCTTTCTAAATTGTTTTCATCTCATGTGAAAAGATGATGCTATTCTAATCATATAAGTAAATAAGAGTTCTGCTATTTCAATAGTGCTTAAATCCTGTAAGTGGAAACTGAAAAACAGAGTGAGTATTTTTCAGCTACTTCAACCTGACTCCACTGCAAACATTAAAAAAAAAAGCAAAATGTATAGTAAATCAGGAGGTCTGTGGGATCAGGCTAACAAATCTTGGGTGCAGGAGCAGATCTGATAGAGCCCCGAAGTGATTCTAATCAAATAAATTATTTCCAAGGGCAACTAATCTCAGCTCATTTTCCTTGACGCTCTCTAGAGGCATCACATGCTGTACATGGAATTTTTTCCAATGCATTTGTATATCGTGCATTTAAAAAAAAGTATAAAGGCTGCTTTAAGATTTTTATTGTCCTAAATTGTCAGTTTTACAGAAAGGTGTGCTTTTCTTCTGAAATTGCAATACCATTCAATAGATATTCTGAGCTAGCTTACTCCATTAAGGTAGAATATCTTCCAAATAAAAAAAAACAAACCACAAAACAAACACAACAGGGCCAACTGTGAAATAATTCTTGAAAATAATTATTCAGAGAAACTGAACAGAATATCTTACAGCTGAACTTTCCAATCTTACAGTGGATATGCATTATGGGACATTGGTAGATGCAACACATGTTCTGTTAGCCAGACAATGTTCTTGTTTGCTCCCACGAAGACTTACTATATATACAGCAAGCGACTGCCTTAAGAGGAAAAGAAGAGTCACATAGTTCAGCAAATCCCTTCACTATACAATTTCACCTACCGTAGCATCTTCTGTCTCTCACTGACCATTTAAAATGTAACACAAAACCCCAGAAGATGAAAATGTCTTAGTTTACCCATAGGTTCCAAAGACTGCTGTTTCTTGACTGAAGGTGTGTGGAAAGCATCTGGAAACTTATCCAATCCTGAATTCTGCAATGTGTCAGTTGAGGAACTGGTCATTTTCTGAGAGTTTTGAGAATTGCCTTCACTATCTTCATTATAATTTAAATCTATACAATGAGATGTATCTGGAGCATCAGCCACTTTTTCTTTCCCTTCAGCTGCCTCCTGAAACATTCAATGAGGTTAGCACATGCACTGGGAGAAGCCTACTAGTGTTCCAGTTCATTTTCCATTTAGTATAAATTTGATTCCAGATATTTACAATATAGTTACTCCTGAATTTCAATCATGAAAACCACAGGTGAAACAGATACTAAATATTCAGAGATTTGCACAAAGCTTTTTAGAAGCAGAGGTAAATGGAGTTACAGGTGTTTTGGGAGTGATGTTTCAGCCAATATAAAGTTGAAATGAATGGCTGGATACATCTGAAGGAAAGCCTGAGAAAACAGTGCTAGAAGCTACATGCTTAAGCTCGCAATCAAGTTTGACACTACTTCTGGGCAACATTTACAGTGTCTTCCTTTTAGTATCCTATGCTTATACATCTCAATTGAATGCTGGACACAGGAGCGGGAAGAGGCAGAGCAAGAGAAAGGGATATACTTCCAGTATTCCCCACATGGAACTAGTGCTGCAGTCAGCAGGCCTACACTGAGCAATGCAAAGACAGATCCCAAGGAATTTCCAATTAGAGCACTTCTATGATGAGGAGTTCAAATAATTAATTTGAGAAAGAAGCAAAAACTTAGTACTTAATGAATTATCACCTTAAGATGACTTACTGGGTTTATTTTTGTTTCAGAGCGTAAACAGCGGATCATAGCATTGACATTCGTGATACAGGTTTTCCAGTCTTTTCCATGCTCACTCAAATCATAGTTTGGAAAGTTAGTTGCAAGAAATTCTGCATATGAAACGTAGAAAAAATTTTAAGCTTCATGACAAAAAGCAGTATTTAAAAGTATTCTAATTTAGAAAAAAAGAGAGAAAGCTAAGAATTGCTTCACGTTTACTGTTCTCCATGTAGAAGCTTTTAGATTTCCAGCTTTAATTAAAGAGAGATAGTAAACTCACGTTTTGAAACTAAGCACCACCATGAATTTAAGATGTGCAGTGATATTTTTTTGAGGTGTTGTGAATAATGCTTTTATTATTAAGCATTTCATTGTAGAATTAGGGGAAAGGTATGATTTATCATACTAATGTTAATTAAAAAAAACACAACACAAACAACAGACAGGGTAATGCTGATGCTGCAGCTACTTCAGATGGCTTAAATAATCTCCCACCCTTTAAACAGGAAGGAGATTTATAGGTTCACACATACGTGCCATGCGATCTGTTTAAATGGCTTGACATTTAAAAAAGTGCCCTCCCCATCTTCACCATTTCTCAAACAAACAAGAGAAGTGAACTTAAGAGAAAGAGAAGAGTATTTAAGAATCACCAGTTAACGTTTGTCCCAAATATACCATGGCCGTAAAAAAAACCCCAAACCGAACCTGAACCAGCCAAACAAAAAACCTCCAAAAATCCATGCCACACACAAACACAGAATAAATTGTAATGAAAAATTTAGGAAGTCATCATGACTGATGAACACGAAGTACACAAAACTAGGAGAAGTCAGAATTGTTTTATCCACGTTGAAGAAAAATGAACATTGAGAATTACAAAGTGGGAATTTCAAAACCAAAAGACACAGCAGGGTGGAGCACATCCACTACCACATTTATCAGTTCACCAGCTGCTAGACAATGATTCGCAGAAACATAGAGAAAAGAACTCCTTGTAAGTTAAAATGTTAAGTATTAAAGAGGTAAATCTGTGCCTTTTGAAAGGTAACATACCTCTTATTGCAGCAATTTTGTTTGGATCCAATGTTCTGCGCCCTCGTGCACTCACTCCCATAATGCTGCACAATAATGTTTCCTTGGGGAACAAGACACGAACTAAGTAGCGCGCCGCATACTTTGGTTTAGTCTTTTGCCGAGCTTTCATCAAATAGTTTCCAAGAACTTTTACATTTCTCACTGGGTCACCAACAAACTCTTTTGTAAAACAAAAACATTTAAAGAAAAAAAAATTAAAAAACCCAAGCAAGTTGCTAAAGAAAGCACACTTTTTCAAACACACTCTCTCAACCTCTATGGTACTCTCGGTATATGTTCTCTACTACACCTAGTTCTACTATATATTACTCATCTTTGCTCTTACAAGAGCAGCTTTAAATTGGAATGGTAACAGAAGTATCTTTTTGATTCACATTAACCACCAATGTAACTAACTGAAATAGTAACACTCAAGAAAATACATTAGACACATAAGAGTCCAAAATGTTCAGACTGGCCTATTTTGCACACGTGCAGATACCATGTATGTTTTCAAGACAATGACCCATGAAGAACGGCATATCCATACATAGTACTGTTAAATCATACACTGTTTACAAATTCGCAGATAGATATCCGAGTATTTCACCTACTATTCGTGCAGCTCTTCAGCTGTATGAACTTATTTTTTAGATGAAAAGCAACCAAAACCTCATAGCTCAGCCTTCCACATAACTCAGAGCGTTTATACTTTAGAAAGAAATATATTAGTTTTTAAAACATGGTGCTATTTTATATGTACTTGTTTATAATGCAATGATCTATGGAATTTTTCATTTTCTGTGGAATTAAATATTTTGAAAGAAACCAAACACTGCAGAATTTGAGGATAGAAAGGATTTTTCACTGATAAAATCCTCCACAAGAAGAAAACAGGTATTTCCTTCACACAAATCAGGTAAGTTGCTTTCTTAAATACAAAACATGTATACAGGCATACGCCTCCACTTAGCTTTGCTGGCAATCTCTTTTGTCTTTTGAAACATACGCATAGCATGCATACATTACTTATGACATATACATAGGTTAAAAATAGGTTACATCAAGAGTATCAAGAGAGAAAAAGAGGGCCTAGTCTTAAAAGAACCCAAAGCATGTACCGAAAATCAAATGCTTGTGGTAGTCTATACAACTGTATGTATACTGCAGAGGTTTTTAAGTGATCCCTGGCATATTAAACATTCCTATGACCTTTGTTTCAAGAGTTTTAAACAGTATTCCATTATAGAAATGCTTGTAAGGCAGCAAGTTCTGCTCCTTTACTTTTGCTAAATAACAATAGAGAGACTTCTTTAGGCATTTTTTTTTTTATACTAGCAGCAGTTTTTTAGCCTTTGTTTCTGAGTATTTATTACAAAGGAACTCACCAAGGCTAGGACTGATGGAGACTGAAGAAGATGGTAGTTCTTTACTAATGTTCGCACTCCCAGATGCATTTGTGTAGTTCACCACCACAGCATTATTTCCCAAACTGGTCTCAGATGGTGCTGGCATCGATGACGATGCCACTGGTGAAGATGCAATGTTGACAGTACTTTCCACAACGCTGGCTACAAGATTTGGTAGTGGAGAGAGGTCAGGCATCCTGTTAGCTGCTGCGTATGATGAATGCAACGAATGTGTAGAAACTATAGTGGGGAGTGGTGGGCTCTGCCTACGAACAGGTTGCTGCGATTCAAGCTGAAGACTCTGTTGAACATGTTTGATTGTGGAATTGACCTGAACATGGCCATTTTGTAAAGCAACCCTTATGACTGGGCTATGCCTTCCCTGGCCTGGTGAAGAGAGATGAAGACTTGATTCCCTTTCCATGGATTTTTGCACTCTTATTTTTCCTTGGGGCAAGTGACTGGAACTTCTATATGTAAATCCAACTGGTTTCTGCAAATGTGATTCAGAAAACAATTAGAAGGTTAATTTAACCAGACATACTTGGTCATTTCTTTCTTTCTAGGAAGACTAGATTTTAGGAATTATGCTATTGGCAACAGACTCTTCATTGAAGTAATCACTGTCATGAATCCAGTGCTATTACTTTTTAGCCTTCCCTCTACTTTCTTTTATTCTCACTTGTAGTTCCAACACTAAGAGTTTATCTGGTCAGCTTCAAGGTTTCTCAAGTTTTTTCCACCTGGGAAATATATAATGATATATATAATGAGAAAGGCAGCTTTGTAAAGGCTCTTAAAAAAGCTCTATAAAAAAAAGAATAGGCAAAATAAAATTTAAAATTTGTCAGCCATTGACCCAGTCTGCTGAATTTTCAAGAGATGTCTCCACTGCCATGTTAGCTTCCTTTTAAACAAGAAAAAAAAAATTCACTTTCTCTACTGGCTGCCTCTTCATTCTTTATTTGCTAGCTGAAAACATTAAACATTCAGATCTCATCTACAATGGAAGATTCCAAAAAGACCAAGACAGACAAACTGAGAGACGGGCTATGCTTTCCACCGCTTGGAGTACTTTTATTAAGAAACATATGTACCCTAAAGCATGTGTTCTAGTTCAAAATAGAAGTCACTCAGCAGGAGCTATCAACTGTAGTGACTCATGTGGGTTTGGGTTTGGTTTTTTTGTTTGTTTTGTTCTTCTTTTTGTGGGTTTTGGGGGTTTGCTTTTTGTTTACAGAAATCTGATTATGTACCACCCTTGTAACCTTTAAAATTCTGTGACCTGAAGAAAGGCTTATGTGCCTAAAAGCTTATCCATTTCTCCAGCTATTGGAGTTGATCTAATAATTAAAAAAAAAAAAGTACCTTTACCACCAACCTTTCCTTATTTATACCCTTAGTCCATCACAGATACAACAATGGTACAGCTATAAAAAAAAATCTACAGCATTCCTGATGGTTTTAAAAATAAAGTGCTAGGAGAACCTAAGAAAATCGTTGGCAGGTTGCATTTGCTGGCTTCCCCCTTACACCTTAGAGCAATAAAAGCCTTTTAAAAAAAAAAAAGGCAGCAGTGCAGGTCACTTTTAATCTGAACATTAAAGCAGTTGCCATCCCACATGATCAGAGGGGAGGGTAAGAGTGCAGAGGTCATGGGGTTCAAGTGTAGCTGCCAAGACCAGTTTGTTCCCTGAATCTCATATTTTTGGATGTGTGGACAGCACAAGCTTGGAGTTGTCAACAAAAAACACATTCCCAAATAAAACCTAGTATCCTATTGATAACTGACATGCATGAGAATGTCATCACTTTTACCCACCCTTAAAGCAAATGGCCGTACTGATGTCTTGACATCTCCTGACAGCAGGATCACCTCTGCCACATTAAAAGCTTTGCAGTATTATTGACAAAGAAAGGTCATTATGGATTTTATGACCTTCTTTGGAAATCTGTCATGTTTTCCTTTTAATGACCATTGTTACAAGTACTAATATTCTGTCTCCTTAGTTAACAGTGGATTGACCATATAGGAATAAAATGGACAGCATGTACTCAACATCAAACCTTCTTAAAAATTTTGAAAAAAGGCGTTTTATTAACAAAAAAATACAATTCTATACCGTAATGGATGTGACAACACACTGTTGAGATCTAAAAATCAGTCAATAGAACCAGCCTGTGTGAGTGATGCATAAACTCTCTAACTGCAGAAACCAATGAGACAGTACACCACATCTTGTAAAGCAGCAATACCAATACACCCAAGTTTAAGATGTAACCTACACAATTCATTTCTACTCATTCCAACACAAATAGAATTTTACAGCATCTATGACAGTATCCTGAATTTGATGGGGGCCACTGGCTGTTCTGTGACCACTGGTCAATAACAACACAGGAGACCAAAGCTGGCGTATAGTAAGAAATCTAGAATAATTTAATTGAAATGGATTTTAAGTCTACTACTTTGCTACTAACTTTAATCTTAGTGAAAGGAGAGGATTTTTTTTTAAAATAAGTATCAGAGGAAGTGAGAGAATTAAAGGAAAAATAGATGTCTTAGGTCTTTAATACTCACAGGTTTGAGCAACAGTGGCTTTACACGAGTATGCTGCATTTCTGAGACCTTCCGATGAAGCAGGTCAAATTTTTTATCCAGTTTCTGAATGGCATCATACATGGCCTGACAACAAATGTAAGAGTGAAAACAGTATTGTTTCACAAGAACCCAATTTAAATCTGAAGAAATCAAGAAAGTTCAATTAAGGGCAAGATTCCCTCCCTAAAACTGGGTAAGATCTGTGGATAATATACATATATTCTGTAGGCATATTAAAGATCAACTTCGATACAAAATTCAAATACAAATGGTAAATATCACAGTAAAAAGAATTCTCAGAGAAGCTTACTCTTGTGACTTTAACATGGCAGCCACTTAAGTGTTGTTCTTCCTGCTTCCAGCAGGTGTTTTATTTTTACCTATTTAGTACGTTTTGCTCTACCTTAGAGCTTGTCAGGGGCTTTACAGTGTAAGTTAGGTATTATGAGATGCTATTTTAAGTCATAATAAGTTTCCAAGTACACAGGTAAAAGGCTTATTGGCAGCCACCAAAATGTTGATTTCTGTATCACCAATGGGAAATATACTTAGAAAAATACTATCTGTAAAGTAAAACTCTCAACTGGAATTGAATGTGGCCAGGGATGTCAAAGACAACAAGGAGGGCTTCTGTAAGTACATAGGTGACAGAAGGAAGGCTAGGGAAAATGCGGGCCCACTGCTGAAGGAGACAGGGGACCTGGTGACACAGGACACAGAAAAGGCTGAGGGATTCAACACCACCTTTGCCTCAGTCTTTATTAGCAAGACTGGCCTTCCGGAATCCCAGGTCCCAGAGACCGGGGGGAAAGGCTGCAGCAAGGAAGACACACTGGGTGGAAGAGAATCTGGTCGGGGAATCCTGAAGCAAACTGGACACACGTTACGTCCAAGGGGCCTGATGGGATGCGCCCACAAGTGCTCAGGGAGCTGGCTGATGTCATTGCGAGGCCACTCTTGATAACCTCTGATTGATCAAGGCGAATGGGAGAAGTGCCCAAAGACTGGATGAAAGCAGATGTCACTCCTGTCTTGAAGAAGGGCGAGGAGGAGGACCCAGGGAACTACAGGCCAGTCAGCCTCACCTCCATCCCTGGGAAGGTGATGGAGCAGCTCATCCTGGAAACTATCTCCAGGCGCACGAATGACGAGAACACCACCAGGAGAATACCACCAGGAGTAGTCACAGCATGGCTTCACCAAGGGGAAGTCACGGTTGACCAACTTGATAAAATTCTACGACGAAATGGCTAGCCTGGTAGATGACAGTAGAGCAGTGGATATTGTCTACCCGGATTTGAGGAAGGCCTTCAACGTTGTCTCCCATAAGATCCTCACAGACAAGCTGCGGATGTACAGGCTGGATGAGCAGACAGTGAGGTGGACTGGAAACTGGACAAATGGCTGGGCCCAGAGAGTGGTGGTCAGCAGCACAAAGTCTAGATGAAGGCCGGTGACTAGCAGAGTACCCCAGGGGTCAATACTGGGTCTGATCCCGTTTAACAGCTTCATTTATGATCTGTATGATGGGCAGAGCGTACTCTGGGCGATTTTAGTGGTGACTACGTTGAACCTGAGCCAGAAATTAGCCCTTACGGCAAGGAGAAGTGCAAAGTCCTCCAACAGAGGAGAAAAAACCCCAGGCACCAGTACATGCTGGGGGCCACCTAGCTGGAAAGCAGCTTGGCAGAAGAGGACCTGGGATCTCCTGGTGGTTACTAAGTTGAATGTGAGCCAGCAAAGGTGGCTAATGGTACCCTGGGCTGCATTAGGCAAAGTATTGCCAGCAGGTCAAGGTGATCCTTCTCCTCTTCTCAGCACTGGTGAGGCCACACCTGGAGTGCTGGGTCCAGCTCTGGCCTCCCCAGTACAGCAGAGACATGGACATACTAGAGAGTCCAGCAAAGGGCCATGAAGGTGATGAAGGGACAGGAACACCTCTCCTATGAGGAAAGGCTGAGGGAGTTGGCACTGTTCAGCCTGGAGGGGGAGCTGGCTCAGGGGGGAGCTCAACAATGTATAGAAATACCTGAAGGGAGGGTGCAAAGAAGATGGAGCCAGGCTTTTTGCAGAGGTGCCCAGTGGCAGGACCAGAGGCAATGGGCACAAACTGAAACACAGGAGGTTCCCTCTGAACACCAGGAAACACTTTTTCACTGTGAGGGTGACTGAATACTGGCACAGGTTGCCCAGGGAGGTTGTGGAGACTCCCTTCTCGGAGATATTCAAAAGCCATCAGGACATGGTCCTGGGCAACTAGCTCTAGGTGGCCCTGCTTGAGTATGGGGGTTGGACCAGACGATCTCCAGAGGTCCCTTCCAAGTTCAACCATCCTGTTTTTCTGTGAAAATGAGATGCAAGTGATATATGGAGAAATTGACTCAGTCATGCCTTTTGGAACAAATATGGCATTGAAATCAATTGCATCCACATTTTTAATAATCACAGAATGAAAGATAAAGAATTTGAAAAAAACCTACTTATTTTACTGAAAGCGTCTGATCTTCAGTCAATTCCCAAGGTAAAATTTTCTTTCAGATTTTAAAAAGTCATGTTGCCTTACTAAAGCAATCAGGTACAAACTTTTTAAAAGTATTATTGTAAAGGCCCAGATTTTCAGACACAAAAGCCAGATAAATCAAAGCATTCAAAGTCTATCAGTTATTACTATACATTACTGTGCGATATAGAAAGTTCCTTCTTCAGTGTTTCCAGGATTTAGCAACTCAAACATGATGCTTACATAGCAATTTACACATACACTATGTGCCATAACAGTATAAAGGTATTAGATAACAGAATATTAATCTTCTATTGAAAGGACACTGCCAACTTGAAAATACATATTAGGCACATGTCATCAGCTATTACTGCAAAAAACACACGAAGACATTATAACTACATGAGTTACAAAGAGGAAATGTGTCTTCAACTAACTAAAGCATTTCTTTTGTTGGTCTACAGCATAACTAGACAGAGAAATTTTTAAAAATACGTATGACTATAAAAAAATTGCTAGATGGATTTGTAGTAGATAAAATTGAAAATAAATTTAAATTCTATGAAAACCAACAGTTCGGTTTCAATATGATAGCTATCTTTTCAAAAGTTAAATATCCTTAGACAAAAGAATCTATAAATCTTCCCAAAATTTAGAAATATCTCAAGGAAGCACTAAAAGACCTTAAATCAGCGTGGACAGTACAGACATTATTAAAAGGCTTCACGCAGCCCTAGGGCAGATTTACTGGGATGAGGCGATAACAGTGGGGTGAAGGAGATGGAAAGGGGCTAGTAGGCAGCAAGAGGCTATAGCTTCTCATTAGCGCTACTTGCTACAGCACACATTCCCAGACTAGCGCCAGAAATGTGAATCACACAATCTTAGTCAATTTTCTTCCACAGCATTGCTGAATATATGCTTAAGGAGACTTATAAGACATTAATACTTGGCTACAAGCCACTCACAAATTATCCTCCCTGAAGCATGGCCTGAATGTCTTTCATTCTAGAGTACTGTGACTCGAGAGTCACATAAGTGCTCACCTGAATAAATATGGGATGCTTTTAATTTTCAGTGCAGTAATTTTCAATCTTGCCAGCTACTGCTTCAGAAGTCAAAAGCAAAGAACTCGCCAAAACAACAGTACCAGGATTTTGGCACACTTTTGGCAAGCCTTGTGTACTTCCAAAAGCTGGGTGTATGACAGTCAGATCTTTCCCATTACTGTGAAGCCCCTCCCAGTAAATCACTAGACTTTACATTTTGTATTAAAGCTTAACGTTTAAAACATATTCTTGCCAGCTATGGTGTGAAGAGTTCAGAGAATATGAAGTAGATTATTTTTTCATTGAAAATATTGAAGTTAAGTGGGCAACTAACAAATGAACAACCGGAAAGGATGAAGTCATAGGTTATCAAATACAGAATGCAAATCTTCCTGAAATTTAACTAAAATTGTTTAAATGCCATTTCAGAGAGAAAGAAAAAAAAAATATACCTGGCAGTAACTGAGGACTTCCATAAGAGTTTTCTGCTGATCTCCAGTGTAGGAAGCTTCAGTGTAGGAAGCTTCAGATACAATACTCCCCTTTTTCATTAAAATAATAAAAAAGAATGTAAGCTAGTAATACATACACAGTCTTAGGATATCACATTAAACCAATAAATCCCAACTTCAAACCTCACGTTATTTCAGTCTACCCCAAAACATGCATCCCCAAAGCAGCTTTTCAAAGTCAGTCAAACAAAAGAAAATTAACTTACACATTCATAATCTGGTTCATACTCATAAATGACACTGTCACTATCTTCATATTCTCCTTCCCTGGTTCTCATCTGGGAAATAACAAAGAACTTTTAGTGTTTTGACTAATGAAAGAATTCAAAATATAAACTACAGAGACAACCTGCTAGGAATCCAACTTGGATGCTTTCAGTTGTAGGTGTATTCCCTCCCCTGACTACAAAAGGGCCCAAGAAAGCAAGATTTAACACAGTCATCTCATTTATGTGCCTGTGGTTAGGTCATATGTACACTCACCTCACTTTTGTTTTAAGAGCATCTTATTCTGGTTTAACATAAACCTCTTGCAAATTTATATAATATGTATGTTTATTTGGTTATTCTAAGGCCAGAACTTTCTCATCTAGTTATATAGGCACTATATAGCCAGGCTTCTGTAATTATGAGACTCCATGTAGATTTTTACACTAATTTAAATAAATCGATTTGAAAAAAAGTGTATTTACTTCAATGGGTATAACTCTGCAAGCAGAAGCTCTAAAAATGTCTAAAAGATGTAATTTTCTTGCTGTGTGAAAACTGCTTTTAGACAGGAATCAACAGTGCCACCACCTGGACAATTCTGACATTTTTCTTCTACTGGATGGGAGCAGTTCCTGTCCACCATACATCACAGACTTCATGAGTCTGTTGTTGTTGTTTTGTGGTTGTGTTTGGGGTTTTTTTGTGTTTTTTTTTTTTGTTTTTAACTAAGTCATATTTAATCAGGTCTTATTTTAAAAAAGGAAGGTTGGGGATGTGTTGGTTTTGTTTGTTTTACAACAGGCAGAATTAAACAGAGTGGAACTGCTTTTATAGCATTAAAGACACCCTGAGTGTTGGAATTTAAGAATTAAATACGGTGACATGAACTAAGCTTCAGACTGCCTCAAGTTAAAAATATATGTAGTCTGTCTTTGGACAGAATTGTTCATGGAGGCAAATCCTTATTGAACATTAAGTTTCAACTTTTACTATCCTAAATTGCACAGAGATTTTTACTGAAAAAATAAAGAGTATCTACATGGGAAGTTACTCTCCACTGTACACTAGCTGTTGTTATATACACGTACAGTATCCAGCACAACAAGGTTTTACTCTTGCTAGGAGCTTCCCTGCACTACATGGATATCCCACCCACACTTCTTCACTGGGATGTCATCAAATGAGCATACAAAAGCGAAGGAAAAATGACATTCCCAATAACATTGAAATTGGCCTCAAAACAAAGGGCTACTGTTCAGTGAAGCATACCACATTCTGTCCCACTAGAGTAGGGGCAAGTCGTTTTCTTTTATTATGTGAAAACACAAAATCCATTTTTTCAGGGCTGTGACCATTTCCTCTCTGCATACTTGCAGAATGGCTCATTTGTGATGCCACTCGTTCAGCTAGCACTGATAAGCCTTCGCTTCCTGGAAAAGTGGAGAGAAAGCAAAGCACATCAGCAGGTTTCCCACCGCATTAAACATTTCATGACAAAAAACATGCACAGTCACCCACTTTTTTTACTTTCAAACTGCTTATTTGAAATTTGTTTACTAGCATATTATTAAACACTTATTAATCCAATTTATTTAGATCTGAAATTATAAATTCAATTTAATATTCTTTCTTCCAAATTCCCTCCAGCCTCCATTTCATTTGCCTTGCTTTTCACTGTTGATTCTCTGTTCTCATTTCCATGTCCGATTGTACGAAGTCACAGAATTCAAAACCCCAACAAAACCAGTTAACTGAAATTCAGGCAACACACTCACAATGTAAAACAGTTCCCATTTGTTTAGTCCTCAGCTGTCCCTTCCTTACACTTAACAGGTCCTCCCCCAGTTTTGTCACTGAAGCACCGTGCAACAAAAGAGATCTGCCGCAGGTTATCTCCTCTGTTGAGCCAGTGTAGGTCAGGGACTACCAAACACGAACTATCCACAAGCGGTACACAAAATGCCTCCACCTCTCCATGTGTGGGCCTGGCACACAGTTAAAAAGCCATTACCACAGTTTATCACTGCTCCGTCCTAATTCTTTTGAAGTCCACACGATTGTCAGACCTACTTTTTGAAGAATGTTAAAGGATTTTCACAGTTAAGAGAGAAGGCGTATCTCTACTACCAAATCCATCACTTACAGGTTTCTACCTCAAACTTTCAGGAAAGGCAGCTCTTTTTAAAAGAAATAAAAACACTCTTAAGAGGGGAAGAAGAAAAAAAAAGTAACTATTTCCCCTTGAGTTCTATATATTTCAGCTATAGACTGGCCAAGCACTATATAGATAACAAGGTATAGGTACAGATAAGAGAAGAAGATATTAAGACAAGTAAAGCTTAAGAAGCTAAACAAGACCTTGGAAGGTTTCCAAGAAATAAGGAGAAAAACTTAGCTGGTACAAAAAGGCAACACCAAAGTCTCCACCATACTATCTGCTGTGAAGGAGCTTAGGCCAAGCTGAAAAGTTACAGTGGGGAAGTTTTGTGGATACCTACAGTAGGTTCCTCCCAAGTAAAAGGGGCTGCATGAGAAAAGTTACAAGGGTACTTCTTACTACCTGTGCAAAATAATGGAACGAGTTTCATGGCCTAACTGGAAAGCAGAACTAGTATCTCAGAAGTGAAGGAAGAGAAAATGAATCCAATGGGACAGGGACAAGCTAAGAGAAATACTGAAAAGCAAAGACAACTGCTTTTCTTTTATGCTCTAGAAGAGGAAGGGCCAGGGGCAGGACAGAAAAGTAGTAATATATTCAGTATCATAAGCTAGAAAAAAATTTTCTTTGCATTAAGAGCCCAGACAAAAGTTGTAGCAGAGCTGACAGATGCTACCCAGGCAAGATCTGTGGTAGATCTAGATTAGTGTAGTTAACATCGTTTTGAAATCACAATCAGTAACTGAGTAATAAAAATACGTATGCAATTACTTAATATTTGTTCTCTTAGGTAAAGATTAAAACCGACCTACCCTCCCACCCAGCTCCAGAGTTTGCTTCCTTTCCCAGATCACCTCATCCCTCTGTCCCCACCACACAGACCAAGCTAGCACTCCTCTCCTAGCACTAAGCACCCCCAGAACTGAGAGCCTGGGAAATGCCAGCATCCTGTGGGACCAACACCAATACAGGCAAGAGGACATGCTGAAAGTAGAAGGGGTGCAGGGCAGCAGGATTAACACACTGGCACAATGTAGTCCCTCAAACTTCAGATACTTTCTGCAGCCAAACCAGAATGCCACTTCACCTGGAGAAACATTAGGTCCCTGGTTTAATTACATTTTAAACATACTATGCTTATGTTAAACTAATCATCTTTCTGATTAGCTTCCCAAATTTAGATTTAGGCACAAATACAATGACCTAAAAAAAGTGCCAGCAAAAGCGATACCTAGTTTGTGGGCATAAATGGGTAAGTAAAAAGCATAATAGAAGTGTTCTGCAGCAGGCGGGGAGAAATAAAGACCTAGATCTGTATCTTAGCGATGCCGAGCTTGCTCTGCCAGCTAAGTATCCGTAGGCAAGAAGATATGAGACAAAAGTAAAAGAAACTAGCTTGGACAGACAGAACCGGATCTGAAGAAAAGGCACTGCTCTACAAGATACTAGCCTAAGATGGTGGTTGAATAAAAACAATCAGAGAGAATTTCAGTTTAAAGAGTTAAGTTCAACAGTAATATTCCAGATAAGCTTATGTCATGTTTTGGTCATACATCTCACTATACTCAATTTTAACTAGACAATACCTAACACTAACAATCTACAACAGAAGCTGTAAGCCCAAAGATGACAAAAAACAATCATTCCCCCTCATCATGATTCCTTTGTTGATAATGAAATAACTACTCATGTCCTGAAATCAAGGCCAGCAACTGTCTACGACAGTTTCTTGGGCAGGATTTTTTTTTTTTTTTAAAAACAGAGACAAAACCCCAAGTAAACCATAACCATCCTCCTCCCCTAAATATGTTTTTAGACATAAATGTACAAAAAATTACAGTATACTCTAATGTCAAGTAGAAGACCAAGAAGATTCAAGGTTCTCAGAAGCACCTAACAACACTAGGAAACAGAGACATAACTTGACCCTGCTGAAGAGAAATGCTGATGAGATTCTCTAGAAAGTCAACTGGCCGATTAAAAAAAAAAAAAAACCAACAGAAAAACACACTAGTAAGTGCCATCGCTTAGCAAGGAAAATGACTGTAACTAACTTGGTAATACCGCTACTGGACTTACTAAATGCTTGTAACAGCTATGATTAATTTTTGTCTGGGCCAATGGAGAATTGGGTAAGATTCCTGAGAGACTTTAATTCATTGTATTTATTTGAACATGCAAGATCAAAGACAATCACCAAAACTACTTACAGCTAATAATTTATCACCTTAAACAACATCTTACTGTCACTGCACATCAGTATCCCCAGTGCTCCACTAAATTACACTGGACAGTTTATCCAAAACCCTTATTTTTGGGGTTCGGTTCTTCCATTACATTTATTTTCCAAATTGCTTGCTAATTCATTCCTAGGTATACTTACTTTATAAGTAAGTAAAAACCTGCCTTTTTAAAACATAATATTTCAGTGGGTTCACTATTAATAAAGACCTCTAAAGCAATAACTAAAAAGGTCCCTCTTTTTAAATGCATTGCCAAGCAATTTCTATGAAGTAGCTTTCTAATAAAATATGTTTTAAAGATATGGGTAATACAGAAAGCATTCAAGACAGCAGCACTGAACACACAGCATTAAAACTAGCCATTAACTATTAGATCACAATAAAAATGAGCAGTAATTACCATAGACAAGTTGAGCCACATGGTGAACACCGTTTACATCAGAGTTTTGTTCCATTGACACGCAGCTTTGTGTGGACAGTCCATTTTCTCCATGGTCAACAATCACTGCTTCAACATCATCCTCAACATTCACAGATACATAATCTATTAGCATATGCAGAAAGAGAAACAGGTAAGACTAGACACCATTCTGCGTATCAGATGACAACTGTAGTGCTTGTATCACGTCTAGCATTATCTGAATTGTACCACAGGCTAATTTAAAACCAGTTTCACTTTAGCATCTAAATGTGAAGTCACTTTTAAACACAGGCATTGAGGTTTTAACACGTACTCGAAGGGAAGCGGCTTACCATTGCTTAGTTGGCGGGATTCCTGAAACTATTCAGTACCCAACTCTTCCTACAGTGTCCAGCTTCAACAGGAACAGTTATAAGCCAGTAACAAGCACTTCTGAGAACTCCACTATTTACATTCAAGCATATGACAAGACACATTAATTTCGTTTTGGAATTTTACTTTCATAAATATGAAATGCTTAATACATTTGAAACAAATCAGTCTACAAATCCTAACTGCATATTTGGTATTCAGATCAAAACAAACATCGGCTCCCAATGAGATGCTGTGCAGAAACACCGAATGGCAAATCTCTAGCACCAAATTTTTTCCAATTAAACACACTACATTAAATAAAAATGTCCTGGTTTCAGAATAACTGTATTATAGCTAGATCTGGTGTTTTTGGTAGGGGAGGGAGTGGAATTTATCATTGATGAAACAAATTAATGGAAGGAATCATACCGTGAACCACTAAAGATAGGAAATAAAACTTAAATTCAGCCAGCACACATGCATAATGACACACTAACTATATGAACACATGCCGTATTTTCTACAGGATCTCTACCCTGTTCAGTGCACAGGATGGACTGAGCTCCAGGAATGAATCGGGGCTGTATGAGTCTAACAGTGCTCTGGTTCTTTACTCTTATACAAACAATTCACTCCAAATCCTGCTCTCTTCCCTCTGTTCCAGTTTCTTAGGAGACCAAAAGGTAGGAAAGCAGCTGAATTCCACAGGTCAAAGTTTTCCCTCTGGCCAGTACTCCCATCTAATCCAGAAGAAACAATACAGCAGGGTTTGGATTTCGCTGTCATCAGATTAGGAAAGACTTCACCAAACTGAGGGTCTGTTCAGAAACACCCATCAATTGCCATGCAGTCAATAGCTGTGTTTATAGTAGTGAATTAGGCCAAAAAGCTAGTTGGGGCATAGTTGCCCTGCAAAAAGGAGTTCAGCTGAGTGGACGTGAGCTGGGATACGCTGCTGAGGCTCCAAGTCAGAGAACAGCTCTTGGCCAGTTTTAATTAGCTGTATAGAAGTAAACAACAGGACTATTCATGAACTTAATCTAGGCGCAGCTTTTAGCAAAACACTTCAGTGATGTTCACTGACTGAAGTTCACCGCAGGCTAACATGAGTTATTTGCATGTGTTGAATTATTTAACTGCCTCACAGGCACAAAGTTCTTTGTTGACAGTCATTTAGTATTCTACCTACTTTGGGAGAGAGTTAACTGAGGGTCAGGAAAAGTGCATCTGCAACAAAGCAGGTGGGAACAGAATCCTCTCTGCCAATTTCCCCAACCAGTATGCCAGGTTACTGTATGGCCTGACAAATGCCCTACTTACAGCTGGGCCTCTGCTGCCCTGCAATCGTCTTTCTATCCCTAACTTGAGAAGTGACACAAGTTGTACATTACCTGCGCAACCCTACAACGCACAGAATTTACCCGTATATTGATAATCTTTGCCACAAACCTCATGCCTCACTTTGGCCCACAGGAAATAAGGCAGGCAAATCAAGCCTACCTGACCAGCAACTATGTCACTCAAATCTACAGCAGACAGAGCATCGGGTATAGAAGAGGGAAAATTCTGTGGAACCAGCACGTAGCAAAGACACAGCAGCTCCGTCTAGACTAGAGGAAGGCCAGTATGATCAGAAGTCAGGAGAATTTCTACAACTGGTTGATAATGAAAGCAAAGCTCAGTCTTCCACACCCTCCACCACCCTCCCTTAAACAAGTTTCAAAATCAGAATTTCAACAGTGCAGTGGACTCTGGGCAGAAAGTCTTTCCAAAGTCTGTAGCTGCAGCAACTCACAGCTGGAGGATGAACATAAACCGAACAGCAAAATACAGAAAGGGAAAACATCTCACTTCCAAAAAATATCTAATTAATTACAACACATTTCTACAATGATGTAGAAGCAATGCAGCAACAAGCACTAGTCTCTCAAAACTTTTAACCTCTAAAATGGTGGTCAGGACCCTCCTCAACCCCAGGGCTTTTAACTTCAATCACCCATTGCTGAACATGGCTGCTCTCATAGAGGGAAATTATTCTCTCTTCAGAATGGCACTCTTACATGGACAGTCAGGAAATTTTGAGATTAGAATACATGACCCATTTCCATGAAGGTTTATCAACATGACTCGTCACTGCAACAATAAGGAAAGCTGCTCCAAGAAATGCAGACCCACCTGCTTTATACCAAGCACTTCTTCCTTTTCCTAATGTATTCTAATTGCCTTGCCTCTAAAGTCAATGGACAAATTTAAATGTCTTTGCTGTAGATTGACTACATTCACCACCAAGATAATGTCTGTTCTCAAAAATATTTTGTTTAGAAGATTTGTCAACAAATATTAGCTAGTTTAAAAAAAAAAAGGGGGGGGGGGGGGGAAGCAGTTTTTATCTTACAGTCCTGTACATACCTTATTCAGGCAAGGGAAAACAACTCAGTGTCACTACTGTAGTCATTCTTACATGTGAGGACAACTTCATTCATTCAACCACAATCTTCACACCTTCAAAAGCTTGTGACAAAAGTATTCCAGCTATTTAGTCATAATCTTAAAGAAACTGCAACTTAGTCCTGCAAGCAATTCTAAATATTTGATGCTTCTTAGAAGTGCTAGCAATATGGAGTAATACCATATATATAGCACCAAACAATATGAAATATGTATCTGTCTCTCTCAAGTAGAAACCACAAACTGTCAGATTCTGTGATTAATTTATGCTCCTGAAAAAAAAAAAAGTTAAGCCATCAAGATATTTTTTACTTGTGACTTGAATGAAGATGCAACTGCATTTCTTGTGCCAAATTAATAATTTCATTGCATTAATTAGCTCCACTGACACAAAATATCATGACATAGATATTTACATATTTCCAGTAAGTCTTGCAAGGAAATTATAGATTTAAAAAGTATGATTGAGAAAATATTTTTGGTTTCTGTATTTCAAATAAGGCTTTTACTGCGAAATTAATTACACATTATAGTAAGACTTCCTAAACAGGCTGGTTTAGCCAATCATTGGAACAAGTTATCAGTTTAAGAGAACTCTGAATTTCTGTTTGAAAACTGAAGTGACAATCATCTAAAATTAGAAAACATCACCAAACTAATTTCCTTCTCAGACTCAGTGCATGCTCCAGGTTATATGGTATAGACTATGACTTACTATTTTCAGTAAGGCAGTAGGATATGCTATGATATAAGGTAGAGGTTCATAAAAAAATGCATGGTACAGAAAGACAGTTGTAGACAGAGCAGTGCTGTGAAAGGACCAAATTAGAAAGCCAAGATTGGAGGTGCTCTTTTTAACTTAGAAGCTGTTTATGTTCACCGTTTAGAATTCTTTTCTTCTGCACAAACTCATCAGGTAGCAGGTATTTGTAGAAAGTTAAAGGCACTTCAACTTGAGCCCAGCTTTCATAATGATTTACATGCAAAAATGTCCAACGGTGTGTCTAACCCTGCATCAGAAGTTACATTACTATTTTATGCTGCTTTTTATGCAGCAAAGTAAAACCAACCATCATAAAGAATTTATTTCCAATAACCAATAGAGAAATACATTTAGAAGTAATTATGACTTGAAAATTTTCTCTCTTCTTTGGAAACTCTGTCATTTGATCAAGATACTCCAGCTACCAAATGACCGCTTATCTTTTTACTACTGCTTGGTCACCTATCCCCAAACAGTATAGTAGTATAGGTTTTGGTGAAAACAGCTGAAAACAAAAGAAAAATGTGAAACGTAAGAATGAAAGACGAATAGAACCAAACTAACATAAAAAAAATTCGGGTAGGTGGGTGGGGAGGAGGGATGAGGGGAGGGACAGGACAGACACAGACAGACTACCAAAATAATTCAGAGATGGAAAGATGTTGATATTAAACATCAAGGAATACTGAAAACAAGCAAACAAGAAAAACCCCCACAAAATCAAAATCCCAAAACCAAACATGAACTCTTTCAAAGCCAGAGTTAAAAAGAAAAGACAAACATAAAAGCCCAAAAAACTCGTCGCAACTACAAATTACATTCCAAAGCAAGTCAAGCAAAGCAACCCTACCCAAGCAAATAAAAAATATATCAAGGAACTTACTTGGGTTAAACTAAGTCACAAGAGGAGAGCCAGCTAGCATTAACTTGGACTGCAACTAGATCCTGCTCTATTTATGGCCTGACACTTATGCTAACATACATACACCAACAAAAAGGAACAAACACAAGGGAGAGCACAGGGACACCAGTGTCACGATGCCTTTCAGGGGTAGTATCACCCCATTCCAGCTTCAAGTAATCATTTGCATATTAACTCAGTCTCATTGCAGATGTAACTGAGAGTTTTAAGCACATTTCTGCATACTATGATAATCAAAGCTACGAGCACAGAAACAAAACCAGATCTGATGCATCAGCTGAAGCCTGAAGACAAGCTGACAGACTACTTTTCTCTCCCCAAGCACGTTACTAATTAAATACACCACATAAGCCAGTGGGATAAGGAAGGACTTGTACTGAGTCAGACATTACCCAATGAATGCTCTCGCTTATTGCGGAAACAGAAATGTAGGTAACTATGAGGTATGGAATGGTAAAAGGAGGCGGATGAGAGAGTTGAAAGTGCTAAGTAGTACTAAATCCCATCCCAACCTCTACTGCAGAGTTCCTGGGGGCTGCTAGCACAATCGCTAAAACTAAATCAAACTTTTCACAGAAATCCAGTGTTTTTTCTTCATCTTCTAAGAGCTCAGTTAGACACATCTCTGTATTTCTGCAAACATGATCTCAATCTCAATACTCACAGGTGCAACAGACAGCCATGGAAGATATGTGTAAGATGAACTAGGTTTTACAAAGATGCTTAAATACTGCACTCGGAAAAATACCATCCACCTCAAGTCGCATCCTTTAATTTAGCATACTTCTGATAATTTCGTCCTTAATCTAGATAGTTTGTCACTGATCAGAGACACCAGAATACTCTACCAGAGATAAAATGCTTATCAACAGTCTCTGAACACTGAAACAACAGTTAATTTAGAATGCTGTAGTCATAATTTGCATGACTGAAGTTTGCAACAGATTAAGACAATGGGACTGTATATTGAGCAAATACAACCCAATTACTATGGTGAGAAGCAGAATAATGAAACCAGGTTTCCCATGGCTTTAGGTCTCATATTTGGATTACTGAGATGCTAATAAGATCAAAACTCAAGGTGAAACAAGTCTCACAAAGAGGCCTCTGATGTTGAATAAGATTTGAGCTCATACTGCACCTTTTGACTGAGGAATATTATTAATGGCACATCTTTTCTACTGCCAAGGAATTTAGAACAGTCTTAATATTTGCTAAGATTACCAAGCTATAGACAAAGCCAATCAGGAGACCAAGGAGAAGGAACAGACACCCAACACCTGTGCTTAATGAGGAGTATATCAGGATTGCTATGCTCCCACCCTCCTACATCTCAATCCTACCCCTTTACTTCATGCCGACACTTGTACAATCGCAGGGTGAACTGGCCGAAGCCTAACCACACCAAAAATAAAGTTATTTTTTAGCCAGAAAAGCTCCCTGAACCATTAAGTCACCATTAAGGAAATCGGGCGTCTGAGCAAGAGACAACTGGAACCTCTTCAGAGGGCAGAGGTCTGTGACAGCAATGACAAGCTAAATGAGCTTAAACTGATGTGAGACTGTACAAACATTACTCCTCAGAAGGGCAAGGTGAAGCATGTAACTGACAGAAATGCACCTGTTTTGATTCTAAGTAAATGAAGCCCATATACCTCTACGATACAGAAGCTGCACTATGCCTTATGTCTTCAAACGGAAAGATCATTATGTCAGGCACCTCACTTTATGAGCATTACTCATCTCTGCCGGTACTCAGGTTTTGTATCTGAGTAACTGCAGCACTCGGGGACCTGCCGGGGCCAAGACGCCGCTGTTCCACAGCAAAGTCTCCCCAGCGTTTTGCCACTACGCTCACCCACCATCTGAAGACTGAGGAAAGCAAAAGC